AAGCAGAGTGGCATTGTAGAGGAGAAACAGTTCCCGGTGTCAGAAGGCAGGAAGGCAGCAAAGTAGCAAGCGGCAAGTGACGATACTAGCAGACCTCTCTCTGTCCCTAAGGCGAGGCACCCAAAATCCTGCCGTCAAAATGTTAGCCCCAGTATCACATCCTTAATCCCATTGTCACACACCCTAGGTCCAGCCACCTCTGAAAACTCCCGCCTGTGACCACATGAAACTTGGGGGAAACATCTAGATACAAGCATAACAGCACTGGACTTGAAGTTGTTTCCTATGGGAGTTCAGGGTCTAGCGGAAGGAGCCCAGATTGATCCATGTAGTCATGGGTTAGAGTTAGAGATTGCACAAGTAACATAACAGAGGGTTGCATGTAAAAATGTTTGTAGATAAGTGCATACACTCAGGATAGCATACCAAGACCACATCTGTGTTCTGTAAGTGAGAGGGTCTAGAGGCAGCAGCCCATGGCAATGAGCATGCCAAGAGTCTAGATCTTGATTCTAATTCTACAGTAAGCCAGCAGTCCTTGGAGAAAGAGTGTAATGATAAAATATACAAGATGAGCTTGGTGCACCTGGTAGAGGCAGAAAATACAAGATACAATGAAAGTGGAATCCCACAAGGATGAGGACATGTAAGGAACTCAGGAGCCAACTAAAGAAGCTCAAAATGACTAGAGCTAGAGTGATTTGAGCAAAAACAAAACACTGTTATAGCCCAAAATACAGATTAAATACCCAAACTGATAAAAATAAATGGCCCAATAAGTAAAGGGGCAGAATGGGTAACTTTTTCCCTACCCCATTCAAAAATCTAAGAAGACAAGTAGATTAACCACAATCTGAATAACCACATTACTTTATACAGGTATATATTTTATACATGTATCAAAACAGGAAAATACAGCCTATTCTGTGTGAAAAAATCAACTAAAACTAAATATTAAAACTGACACAGATGTTGGGTTCAGCAGATAAGGTCATCACAGCAGCCATAACTATATTCTATATGTTCACAATTCTGGGAGAGATTGGACACCTTTCATTCTGACACAGCAGGTACTTAAATTTCAGATGAAACCAGAGCTGCACCATCCAGATATAGTGTACATGGGCTGAGATTGACTGGGTTGGATGATGCAGAGGAAAAGGTTCATGAATTTGAAGACAAGGCAGTGGAAACTAGATTAAAACAAAGCAAGTAGCATATTTACAAAACAAAGCATTTGTGAACTGTGAGACAACATTCGGAGGCCTGATGATGCATTAGTAGAGTTCCTGAAGAAGGTGGGAGGGACAGAGAATGACTTGAAGAAACGTAAGAGAAAACTTCAGGTTTGTTGAAAATTCTAAACCCAGATTGAACAGTCTTCATGCAAAAATGAAGAAAAGTACAACACATCATAACCAAGTTACTTAATACCACTTTACAAAGAGGTAAGTCTCACGCAGGAAAAAAAAGAAAAAAGTAAAAGACATTACCTAAAAGGAATAAAAATGCAGGCACTGATAAGAGTTCTCATTCTCTGAAATGATACTACGAGAAAAGTATCTAAAACACAGAAAGAAACTTATCTAGATTCCATACCCAGTGAAACCTTACAAAATGAGAGTGCAAAAACATTTCCTCATATATGAAGTCTGAAGCAGTTCATTACCTTCACTGTAAGAAATGTTAAAAATCTTCAGGCTCAAGCAAATGAAGCAAGGTGGAAATCTGATGTACATAAAAGAATAATCCTGGAAATGGTACATTCCTGAAGGGATATACTCATTTTAATCTCTTTGAAATGTAATTGTTGTAGAGCATAACATTGTAACAGAGTAGGGAACTTATACACAGAAATCAAGTAAAAATTATTTTATTTTTTGTCTTTTTAAGACAGAGTGTCTCTATGCAGTTCAGGCTGGCCTTGAGCTCACTTTGTAGCCCAGGCTGGTATATAAAAGTAAATTCATATATATATGTATACATTTTTTTTTGTCTTTTTCCTTTTTATCGGTACCAGGGATCAAACTCACGACTGCCTGCCTGCAAGGCAGGTGCTTATGCCGCTGAGCTAAATCCCCAGCCCCTATATTTTTAATTCCTGTATTTGAAGTGTGATTTCAGTTGAAGGCAGACTGTGGTAAATACAGATACTATAAATTCAAGAGCATTTTCTAAAGTCACAAAGTACTGTAATGAATTACTACAGGCATAATAATAATTGACAAGTTAAATCATTTAAAAAACAGTGGATGGGGGGCTGGGGATTTAGCTCAGCGGCATAAGCGCCTGCCTTGCAGGCAGGCAGTCGTGAGTTTGATCCCTGGTACCGATAAAAACAAAAAAGACCAAAAAAAAAAAAAAAACCAGTGGATAACAATTTTTTTTTTTTTTGAGAGAGAGAGGGTCTCACTATGAAGTTTACCTTTGAACTCACTATGTCACCCAGGCTGGCCTCAAACTCATGACCCTCCAGCCTCAGCCTCCCAAGTGCTGGGATTACTGGCATGCACCACCACACCCAGCTAAAAATGTTAGATTTAAGCTTCCCCACATTAATAGTTCTCAGTGTAGGTGGTCCATCACCCCAGAAAGGACGTATTGTCAGGTGACATGAAAACCAGTACTCAGATGCTGTTTGCAGTAAGCCACTTTAAAGGCATAAACACAAAAAGTGATGGAGATACACAGTTCCCACAGGTGGAAAGTAAACTTGAGTTGCCATAACATCCAGGTACTAATTGCAGAGCAAAGGAAACCACCAGAATAAAGATACTTCATAACAGTAGATGTTAGTTTATCCAGACAGCACAAATGTGTATACGCGTAGGCAGAGGTATAAATATATAACGCAAAGCCAATAAAACTACAAGAAGAAATGGACAAGTACACAGCCACACTGTTGGTACTCAGTACTTCTTTGTCAACAATTGGAGGAATAAAGGACAGAAAACCTTAGCACTATTGCCCTACTTGACCTAACTGACTTTATCTTTTTATTTTTTGAGATAGAGTCTTACCGTGTAGTTCAGGCTGGCGGAGCAGTAGTGGTAATTCTCCTGCCTCAGTCTCCCAGAGTGCTGAGATTGCAGGTATGTGCACCAAGCCCAGGTCCTAATGGAGTTTATGATACACTCCACCCACATCACATTCGTTTCTAGCACGTATGAGAAAGAATATTCAGTAAGTATTTACCAAAATAGATTTTTTTGGACCATAAAAAAAAAATTTTTTTTGGACCATAAAAAAAAACTTAATAAACTAGAAAAAGGAGAGAAATTAGACTCAAACAAAGCAAAAGAAAGGAAATAATGATCAAAGTAGAAATTAAAGCAGAAAAATACTGTGAAGTCACAAACTTTTTTTTGATCAGTGAAAATTGTCAGGCTTCTAGCCAGACTGATTAGAATAAAGAATGAAAATTTTCAAGTATCAATAATGAGAGATACACACATGGACTGCACAGGGTAGTGAGCAATGTGATATGTGATCACTTTATACCAGCAGACATTACTCACGAAGTGGACAGGTTTTTGGGGGTACATTTAAGGCAGCTCATGTGACATTTGTACACTAAATACAAAATACAGTGTATCAGGCTCCTTCCTCTCACCCTCACATTGTCTGGGAGACACACTGGTGGTTGTCTCATACCCCACATAGGCTGCTAACTAAGCATTTCTGCATGTACTCTGAGAGCCCTCATTCTGTGCAGGAACCCCAGCTGTCAGGAACAGTCTTTGTGAGCATGTGTGACCTGGGCCCTCCATCTTGGGTGGGGAGCTGTGTCTGAGAGAATACTTGTTTCTTTGGTTTTGGTACAGGGGATCAAACTCACCATCTTTTGCTTACCAGACGGCACTTGTGCCACTGAGCTATATCCTTGGCCCCAAGAATATATTTTAAGCTTTAGGAAATACTGCTAGGCCGCCATCTGAAGTGGTTACCCAGCTTAGACCTGCCCATGGTGTTGAACATTCTTGTTCCTTTTCCTTTACAGCACTGGATAGTTTTTGTCTTTTCCATTTTTAGCTATTTTGTGTCATCTTATGCTTTTAATTAGCATTGTATGATGGTGAATAAAGTTGAGCACATTTTCATAACTTGTATCCATTTCTATTGAGTTAGCTCCCATTGTTCATGTGACCTGTCAGACTGCACACACACAGTACGCTGTGTACACTCCCACAGATGCTTCCTACTCTAGACTTGCCATCTTTACTCTCAGTGGTTTCTTTTTTTTTTTTTTTTTTTTTTTTGTCTTTTTCCTTTTTATCGGTACCAGGGATCGAACTCACGACTGCCTGCTTGCAAGTCAGGCGCTTATGCCGCTGAGCTAAATCCCCAGCCCTCTCAGTGGTTTCTTGATAAACAAATGTTTTCAACTTTGTTATAGTCCAGCCTAGTGATTTTTTCCTTTGAGTCCTCGCTTTGTATCTGACTCAGGCACCTTCTACCTACTCAGTGAAGTGAGACTTACTCCATTTTTACTAAAGGCCATATTATTATTATTATTTTTTTAAAGATAGGGTCATGCTATGCAGTTCAGGCTTTGCTTTACTTTTAACATTTAGATATAAATTTATCTAAAATAATTTTGTATCATGAATGAGTATAGGGTCTGCGTCTGTGGCATGTGCTATCTATGACGAGGAGAGCCACTCTCATAGCTCAGGAAATTGGCACTATCTGTGGGCTTGGCAGTTCTGCTCTGAGCAGAACTGTGTGTGTGCACAAAGCAGGCTGCAACGTCGTGAGCACTTAAAAGCCATGTGTGACCGTCCATGCTCCTGTAGCCAGCTCTGGCCCTGTGTGGACCACTGGCAGTGGGCATAGTGTACAGATCCAAGGCTCCACAGAAGAGACTGAGCATGAGAAGCCCCAGGCTTGAGTGCTCCTCATCTGCCCAGCCACTTGTCCTGTGAGGGCTGGGGCTGGTTGTTAGTATAATCTGGTATTTTCCAAATCGGTACTTAGGTGCTTCTTGTTTCTGTCTGCAGTGTGGCCCTTTCTGCCTGATGCTGGAGGAGGTATCCTGATGATCCTTGGATGTCTGTTCACTTGAGCACTAAGGAGACAGGTGGCAATGTCCCAGACACAGGATTACGAGTGCCGGAGTCACCATGTTGACGGGCAGGAGTCCAGGATTCCAGGATCAAGTACCAGGTGAAGAGACCCCATCCCAACCTGCTAAGTTGTCCCAGCCTTGGGAAAGTAGAGGAAGCAATTCTTCAGAGCCTCATGGATGTCATACTGCAGGTGGTGTTGGGCAGTTCCTGGCCCTGCACACCCAGCTCCTGGAACCTTCCCACTGTGGCCTCTGTGGAGGCCACATACCCCATAAGAACCCTGTGAAGGCCCAGGCCTTCAAGTCCTTCTGAGTATCCTTCTCCAAAGTGCAAGTGGATATGGATCATTACTTTTACTTTCCTAATTTTCAACTTTTTATTTGGAAATAATTTCATGTTTATAGAAAAGTTGCAAGAATAAGGGCAGTGTCAGCAATACTCATGTGTCCTTCCCTAGAATCACCTGTTGTTAGCACTGGTTATTCAGTCCCTTTTTCTGATAATATTGAGCAGATAACCTATGTCCTACCCTCTGCCTCAATCCTTGAGTGTATCTGCCAGGTTAACCCCATAGCCACCACCACTGATGTGAGCAGGAAACTCTGCGTGACTAGATCTGGTGCTGGCATGAGGTTTTGACCTCCTCTGCCACCCTGGTCTCGTTGTGCACCTGATTCTGCTGCCCTGTGTGGCATTTCCCTAGCCTTTTTGAAAGTAACTGTCATCTATTAATGAGACTTTGCTCTTGTATATTAAGATATATATTAAGATGTCTATATTAAGATAATACATGAGATGCATTCAGTAAAGCCCACTCCCACATCCTTCTTCTCCTAGGACCCACCTGTTGCAGGTGACAGTGTGATTTCTCATATTTCTTTGTCTCCACATGGAGGCCTCTAGCTGCATGTGCCCCTCAGGCTGTGTGTGGTCGTCTTCTCTCAACAGCCTCCCTGGTTACTATACCTTTTGCCTTTGTGTGGTCTTCTGTGTCACAGCTTCTTGAGTTGGCACTGTGTGTTCCCTAGGATTTGTGCAGCAGTCCTGTTTGGGATGTTACGGTAATGCTGCAGTGAACAGCCTATGCCTATAAATTTGTGCTTTTGGAGGTGGGTCTTGAGGTAAACTCCCATAAGGACTTGAAAATCAGAAGGTACTGCACACAGTGGTGTTGCCACATGCTCCTGCATCTGTGTGCAGTATCCCTGTGGTGGCTACCTGCAGCTTTCGTCAGGAGGAGCCTCTGGCCAGGCATGTAGTCTGAGTATGAGGTCTGTGTGCAGCTTGAGTTTTATGTCTCTGATGATGTGCCAAGTAGGCAAAGGTAGCATCATCTGGTGTTATGGTTCACTGTGTAATGCTCTTATCTTTTGTCCATTTTCCCTTAGTATTTTTCATCTTTTCATGCTCAGCTTTGCATATGAAGGACACGAGTCCTTTACCTATAATTTATATTGCAAATGTTTGTAATACCTAGGTCCAGAAACTGAAAATCTTTTTTACTTGCAGTGTTTTTTGCCATGTTAAAGTTTTTGTAGTCAGATGTACCTGTCTGTTTTGTTAGTGCATCAGGGTCTTTAATCACCTTCACCCAGGCAGAAGGGAAATACACCATGTTTTCTTATGATGCTTTTGGTTTGGTTTTTTGGTTTTTCGCAGTGCTGGAGGTAAAACCCAGGACTTTGTGAATGCTGGGTAAAGAACGTGCACTCCACCAATGAGCTGCATCTCTTGCCCCAGAGTTTTTTTTTTTCTTAGATCTCCAGTTCATTTAAAGCTTATTCTTATGTGTGATGTGAAATGTGGGCCTGACTTTCTGGTTTTGAAACTCACTCCAGTTGTCCCAGCACTCTTATTAAAAATTGCCTCCTCTGAGCTTAGGCCCTGCATCCTCTGGTCATGTTCTGGGTATCTCTAGGGGACTGGAGCTGATTCAGCCGTGTCTGGCTCACTGCCCAAGGGGGCTGCTCCTTTCCCTTCAGGCCTTCCCTTCAGCTGCCCATGGTATTCATTTTCCACATGTGGCATGGGTTCCGGTAGAATATTCCATCCTTCTCCCCACCCACACACCCATAGGCAATGAGTATAGTGATGAAGGGGGCCCTGAAGGTGGGCCAAAGGTGGGTTATGACTAATGACATTGAGCACCTTTGTATCTGTATTGGCTGTTTGTATCTTTTTAGAAAGGTTTCCATTCAGATCATTTGCTCATTTTTTTTTCCTTAGGACAGTGGAGGCTTTATTGGCTAAGCAGCTACTTGAGGGAGGATGAAGAGTGAGGAGTGGCTGGTCCCGATGCCAAGCCAGCCGTGCTTCACCAGCTTGTAGGTGATGGAGAACTCACCCTGGTAGTGGCTGATTATCTCGGGGTTGATCTCCACCTGGTTGAAGGTCTTGCCGCTGTAGGCACCCACCATGCTGCCCACCATCCTGGGCAGGATGATCATGGCACGAAGGTGCGTCTTCACCACCTCGGGCTTCCTCATAGGCTGGGCCTCCTTGCGCAGCTGCATCAGGTGCTCGTAGGATGTGTCCAGCAGCTGATGATCCAGGTCCATACTGCAGTAGGTAAAGTTGCGGAAAGTTCACTTCTTCTTCTTCACTTCTGCCATCTTGCCAGGTCTTCAGAAAAGCCATTTGCTCACTTTTTAAAATTTATTTGTTTTTGTGAAGCTGGGGGCTGAACCCAAGGCATGCTAGGCAAGTAGTGTACCATTGAGATACATCTGTATGCCTTATTTGCCACTTTTAGCCATTTTTGTTGTTGTTTGGTGCTGGAAGTGGAACCGCAAGCCTTGTAGATGCTAAGCATATTCTGTACATTCTCCACCCCACACTCACTTTCAAAATTATTGAATTATAAGAGTTCTTTTTAGGGTCTAGGTTTCAGTTCCTTGCCAGAGAGAAGATTTGGAAATGTGTTCTTCCATTTATGGTTATGTTTTCATTTTGCCTGGAGTACAGTATCATTTATTGTTATTTTGGTAAAGTCTTATGTATCAGTTTCCCTTGTTGCTTATGCTTCTTGACACCATGTCTAAGTGTCATCACAAACCCTGAGCTCATGAAAACTGACCCCTATCTTTTCTTGTAAGAATTTTATCATTTTAGCCTTTACATTGAGGCTTTTGATCTATTTTGAATTAATTTTATGCATGGCATGAAATTAGGACTAACTTCATTCTTTTGCGTGTTCACATTTACTTTTCTTCACAGCACCATTGTCGAGGAAAATATGCTATCCTATGCTTTCTATGTTGAGTGGTCTTGACACCATCACTGCTAGAATCTGGAAAGTAGGGAAGGTGCTCCTCATAACTGCCACACACCTAACACACTTAGCATTCAATGTGGTCATTCTGAAAATACTTATTTGGGCAGTCATTATCTGCAGTAAACATCTCTAAGAACAGGAGCAATGGAAGAGTTGCCTGTTCATCCAGGCATCAAATAATGTGTCACCAAGGGGGGCCCTGTTCCCTGCCATCCCCTTTGGAGCCCACAGGTGACTGTATTCCTCGTCTTAGTGTATGGATGACTGTTGTCTCTCCTTACACCTTTGTCACAAGATGGTCCATTTCTCCTTTCAAATTTCATTTTAAATACTGTTACTAAATAGTCAAACACAGCTCTGACAAAGTTAGAGGGGCTGCTGGCCCTCAGAATCTCTGTCGCCTGTAAGATCAGATCCAGCTTGTAGCAGAGCCTTTGGACAGTTCCAGCTGCTGATCATGGCTTCCTTGCATACCAGATGAAACATAGCGTGTTCAGTGCACATCTGGCAACTGAGCACCCTTACCTTGTATACCTTGTTGGCCTATGGACTAGCAGCCTCTGCTGACCCATGCTCAACTATACTTGATTCTAAAGCCAAGGATGGAATGCCTATTCTCTGATCCGTAGTCCTGACCACTCCATGAGGAGCCCATGGCCTCACATGCACATAGCCACCAGCTGAGCTCTTCCCCGTCTATTAAGATCTGGCTTCAGCCAGAATCCATGGGTACCCTCTATGCTCTGAAGTAACTGGCCATGGACCTCTAGCAATTCCATGTGTGCCTGGCTCTAGAGCTCAGTGTCTTCTGTGCTTTTGCCTGCCCTTTGTTTTCTGAGGGTTCTGCCTGAGTGCTGCCCCCTAGGGCTTTTTAAAAGCCTGGGCTCCTGCCCACATGCACCCAGCAGTGCATAAAAATGGAATAAAGCCCATCTTCACTTAGAGAGCCTTACCACGTTAATTCATTTCAAAGTACACTTTAACCAAAAATAAGAATTGGTATTACTTCTTTTAGGGCTCAGAATATTCAGTTCTGTGCTTTGGTAAGCTTCTCTGTGCTTAGAGGGATCCTTCAGGGAGCCTCCTGACTTTGTTCTGGTAAATGTAGCAGAGAGAAAATGAAAGCTCAGGATCCCTGAAGAGTTGAGGTGAATACAGGGCCCTCTAAGCATAGAAATAGCCACCTGCTGTGTCCTGTGGTTGGGGAGGCTGTGTGCTACTGTGAGTGCCTTGTTCTTGACATGTTTCCCTTGTTAAAGTGGTCAGAGTGACCCTGGCCAGGCCCTAGCACCATTCTGCCTCTAAGTACAATACTGAAGAGAAAATCTTGACTCCTCTATCTGTCCCCTTTCATCTCTGTTGACTTCTCTCTGTAACACAGCTTTCCGTCCATCCCCTGGAACCTTCCCTCCTACCTGCAACTCCCACATATCAGCCTGCTCTTGCCAGTCAGCCAGGAGGACGTGTTTACATGGCCAAGTCAGATCAGCCCTGCTGGTGTCCCCCGTCCCGACAGCTTCAGGCCCTGGCGCAGGGTCACCTGAAGCTGTGGTTCTGTCTCCACACTGACCTTGGTTCCTACCACCACCTTCTTGAAAGCCTTGATGACTCCTTAGGTGTTTGTTAGCCAGAACTGTCATCACCCTGACTGAGTCTGCACTGAGGGGAGCAGAAGTTAACTGGCCCCAAGATACAGTCTCCATGAGATGGAAACAGCTGTGCTGAGGAGGCAAGGACTCCATGCCTAGCCTGGCAGCTGTACTAAGCATCCCAGACCCATAGGGTAACTTTTCTTGGATGCTCCGGGAGGCTCAGAGCACTGACCCTGGGGATGAGCCCCATTCATCTGGTCTGCAATGGAGTTGGTTGACACATACACACGTGTGTTGTCTGTTGGTTCCCCAGGAGGGTCTTCAGGTGTCACTGTCAGTTTTTTGTGACCTCGTTCTGGAGGGGATATCTGGGGCATGGGTGCCTGGACGGCTCCCACCCTGTCCTGAGTGCTGTGCTGCCATGAGCATGTGGACTGTACCCTGCGCTCCCGCATCTTTCCCTCCTGCTAGGCTTTCAACTACTGAAGTGGCCACAGTTCCACAGCGCTAACCATCCCAGTCACCTGAACCCAGCACAAGAAGAGAGGCCATGATCCTTGCCATGTCAGTGGCCTAACCCTTCTGATGATAGCCAGACTCAAGGTGTTAGCAGCGCCCTTCCTGGTTGGGTTTACATTTTCTTGGGCTCTGCCCTTCTCTGGTGGTGAGGAGCACTTTTACCTCAAGGAACCATGACGTGCTTGCAGTGTATGGTACTTCTTCAGTCTCCTGCAGAGTTCCTTGTTTTAAATATAGCACAGCAACCCTACCTACTCCTCTGTGCCTGGAGTGTCAGCCTATGCTGCCGCCCGCTGCTCTGATTATCCTATGCTGCATCAGTTCCTTCTCTGTGTGGATTTGCTCTTGGGCCCATGTTAGTTTTGGTGATTTATTTTTAAACTCGACGTTTCAGTTAATCCTTTCTACATTTTCCTGTTTTTGTGGCCACCCATCTCACTGCAGTCCCCACCACTAGTGTGCTGTCCATGAGATGCAGCCACCTGCACACCATACCATTCCTTCCTGCTGTCCCTTGGTTAGTCCTTAGCCTACATAGGTCTAGTTCTGATTTTGCTGGGTGCTTTTCCTGGGAGAGATAAGTAGGTGTCGACCACAGCTGTTTCTTTTTTTTTTTTTTTTTTTTTTTTTGTCTTTTTCGTTTTTATCGGTACCAGGGATCGAACTCACGACTGCCTGCTTGCAAGGCAGGCACTTATGCCACTGAGCTAAATCCCCAGCCCCCACAGCTGTTTCTTACGTGACCCTGTCAGGTTATACTTAGTCTGACCACCTCTCCCTGGTTGTTGCCTTGGGTTCCCTCTGTCAGGGTAGGCTCAGGGTGATCCCCGATGCTGCAGGTCAGGGAAGATTGAGGCCCTTGAAGGTGTGCCTATATTACGAGTTCCCTGGCTGCTGTCCTATGTTGAAGAAACAACACTCCATGAACTGAAAGTTGTTGGTCCTCTGTCACATGGTTCCCATCACCCTCAAGTCTGTGAGGGAAGCTCTGAGGTGGCCCTTAGCTCAGTCACAGAGACAAAGAGGCTAGGGCTTCCATGTGGGGTTCATGCTTCTAGGGAGAGCACCATTCCCACTATGGCTGTGGGACAGGGGCAGATATCTCAGAGCACCTGTGGAGAGGAAGGCAGGGCCATTTGAGTTTTCAGCAGTGTGGAAAGCCTTGTTCAGGGCTACAGGCATGAGTGGGAAGAAGACACATGTCACCACTGTGGCTATATTGGGCGAGAAATCTGCTCCAGGGTTGGAGTGAGCAAAGTGAGGGACCTGCTTGATATTTATTTGTGTGATACTTGGATTCTCTTTCCCACATGACTGGGCCATGCAGAGGGTCAAGAGAATTATGATTCAAGGAGCTAGGAATATGCTGGAGAGCAGCTGTGTCTTCAGGAAAGGCATGAGCTCATGAGCTGATGCCACCTGCAGCCCTGGCCCTGCATCCCTGTAGTGCTGAGCTGTGGGAGCAGGAGGAGGAGAAGGAGGTCACAGAGTGTCTGTGATCACTGGGGTCAAGGGGAGGAGCTGCAGAAAGGTTCGAGGAGTGGGGTGCGCAGCCCAAACAGCCACAGAGCTCTCAGGTGCTGTTATTGGCTTGTGTATGTGCATCTGCACACAGGGGACTGAACTCCTGTGCAGAGTACTCCCCAACCCCAGACCCACCTGCTTCCAGTAGACCGGGGACCAGTGCCTGCAAGAAAGATTGAGGTACCTGGAGTCTTTGTGAGCAAGAAGCAGGGACAAGTGAGGCAGCAGTGGCAGGTTCCCCCTTTAGTGTGTGGGCAGGGCTTCTCCCTGTGTGGGGCAGTTCCACCTGCAACCTGTGCCCCCAGGGCAGTGAGGGAGCACAGAGGCACTTGTGTCTAGGTCTTGAGAGAAAGATCATGATGTGATGATAGTCCTTGTCTTGAGCATGCAGTGTCACCAAGAATTTGGAAACTTCAGGTGGCCTCTTTCTGGTGTCTGTTTCCTCCTGGGAGAGCTTTCCATCTCCCCCAGCCAGGTTTCTACTAAGCCTTTCCTTCGAGACAGATCCACCAATCTGTGCTGCAGACTGACCCACAGGAAATGATAAGGCAGCTGCCCAGGGATGTGTCTATGCCAAGGGGCATTCATATCGTTACAGAGTGGTTCTTGCCACATAGAAATTTGGAAGTCGTCCAAAAGAATGCCATATGTCACAGGAGCACACCTGGGGTCATACATGCCCACATTCAAAGAGCCTTATCAGGATGCTTTATGCTGCTTTCCAAGTGTTTTTGTAATTTAAAAGCATTGCAGATAGGGCTGGGGATTTAGCTCAGCGGCACAAGCACCTGCTTTGCAAGCGCATGGTTGTGAGTTCGATCCCCGGTACCGATTTAAAAAAAAAAAAAAAACACACATTTAAAAGCATTGCAGAGTTGGAGGGTGTGGCCTGGGGGAGGGGTCGGAAGTGGAGAGAGGGGATCCAAGGCCCTTTGCAGCCTGCTTGTACTGATGCAGTGTCCTGTCCCCCAGGCTGGAGTGGGTGGAAATCATCGAGCCGCGCACCCGAGAGCGTATGTATGCCAACCTGGTCACAGGCGAGTGCGTGTGGGATCCCCCGGCCGGTGTGCGCATCAAGCGCACCAGCGAGGACCAGTGGTGGGAGCTCTTCGACCCCAACACATCACGCTTCTACTACTACAGCGCCGCCTCTCAGCGCACTGTGTGGCACCGCCCCCAGAACTGTGACATCATCCCGCTGGCCAAGCTCCAGACGCTGAAGCAGAATACCGAGTCCCCGCGCGCGTCGGCGGATAGCAGCCCGGGTCGCGGCAGCCGTGAAGGCAGCACTGGCTCTTCGCTGGAGCCGGAGCCCGACGCTGCCACTGAGAAGACGCAGGAGCTGCCAACCAGGGCTGGTCGGCAGGTGGCGCTGGGAAGCGCCAGGGAGGAAAGCGGCAGGTGAGGGACGGGGCTGTGGGCCAAGGTAGGGAGGGGCTGGACCTAGAAGGATTGTCGCTGGGACTGAAGAAAACTGGATCTGGGAAGGTCAGGAACTGGGTGCGGGCGGGGTGGGGGCATTGTGGTGGTAGAGACAGACCTGAATGTAGAAAGTTGGCTGCCTGCAACTCCTGTCTCCCGTAAGTGTTCTGGCACTTCACCTGTGTCCCGTAATAATGAAGGTTTTTTAGTCTCTGCTAGGATCTTCCCTTGTTGCTTGCTGGCCTTTGGTGGATGTGGGGACGATGGGACCCAGCTGGTGCATGCCCCTACTTGCTCCAGCATTTTCTCAGTTCCAGGTCTTACTGACAGTGTCATTAGGCACCTGGATGCCTAGGGCCAGGAACTCATTGGATGAACAACCTGTAAGCAGGAGAGGTCCTGGACAGAAGGGGCTCTCAGCTGTTGTCCTCTCCTGGACAGGCTGTTGAGAGACCTCTCCAGTGAAGGTTTTATGACTGACACAGTTGTGTTTTTGGTATCTCCTTTGTTTCATCCACATGTGAGGAATGAGGAAGTGGCCTCAGATTCTCACAAACAGCATGAGGAACAAAGGAGCTGCCTTCTCTTGGCAGAACCTGTCCTAGGCATTACTGGGAGTCACAGGACCCATGAGGTTGCTAGTGTTGCCTGTACCTCTACTGGACTGCTACTCTTGGATGCCCCAAGAGGGAGATGTTGCTTTTATTGTCATTGTACAAGTGAAGAAACTGAGGCCCATCTGGAGGACTTTGTGGAGGCAAATGGGCCACAGTGGGAGCCAGTAGTCAGCTACCCGGCTGCAGGGGAACATTAGGGATGTGTCACCGGTTGCATCCTTGTTTCTGCTTATAGAAATGAGGCTATGGTATACACCTGGCCTTGTGGGTCACTGCCCTAACCTGGTATCTCAAGATACCGTTCTGTATTGTTGATTGAGATCAGTTTTGTTTCAGTGACAGCATCAGTGGTCTCTGTCAGTGAGAATGCCGTATCTGAGGATCTGGGTAAAGAGCCAGGGAGATGTGTCAAGACAGTGATCCAGGTGGAAAACATGAAGGAGATGGGACTGAAGGCTAAGTAATGAAGCTCTGCACTGGCCTGGGACTCAAAAGTAGTTGTTCTTGCACATGCCACCGCACGTAGAGACAGCCAGTATTCCGGGCAGTGGAACCAGGGCAGGCTGGATTCTAACTCAAGGAAGGCAGACACTGTGAGAGCTGTTAACACTTTGGGGTTCATCTTGGTCCTTAGGAGGTTGTGCAAGAGGTTGGATGCTGATAGGATGGGTGAGTGTCCTTTACAGGATTGGAAGAAGCCATTCTGTGCAGTGCAGTGGGGTCAGGCGGGCAGATTAGTTTATGGAATGTAGATAGTTGACCGTGTACTCCTGCATAGGGCAGGCAATGGTCAGTATGGATGCTGGACGTGGCATGAAGAGTCCAAGCTGAGTTAGAAGTAATCTTTGGGGTTGTGTACAGACACAGAACATCAGTTTGTGGGAGATGAGAAAACTCCTCATGTCAGAAGCAGAAAGAGGCCAGAATATGGCAGAGAGGTCCCAGTCAGGTGACCTTGGTAGATTTTGTCCTGGAGAAGGGTGTGGGGGAGAGTGTTGGAGCAGATGCAGGCAAGTGAGATGAAGATGGACTAGTGTCCACTGTGTGCAGAAGACTTGTTGCAGGCCTGGGGTTGTTCTGAGGTTACACAGGATCACTGAAGTATCTTGGGGCCCCAAGGCACATGAGATGGAAGAGAGGCATACAGATTTGGAATTGCACAGAGCACAATTTATTGGGTGCTTACAAAGGGAAGCATAGTCCTGGGCATCAGCAAACCAGTGAATACTGTGGTTTGGATCAGAAGGAGGGGCATATGTCCTGCTCAGAAGAAAAGTGACTTGGAACCTGAATGTACTTGGTTTATCTCAGGCTAATCTCAAGGATATAAGGCCCATTCCTGGCCAAGGAAGCCAGGATCCAGCTATAAAGTTCTAAACATTACTCTGGTGGGTTTTTATATTCATGATTTGCTGGGAAACTATGAATGAAACTGATCAGGACTACCCAAGGGTGATCAGTTTTGGTGGTTATACCTCAAGTTAGCTACAGTTAGGTCAGGTTGAACCCATGCACTGGTGCAGAGAGGCAAGCAGCTATCACAGGGCCTGGGAAGACCTTCACAGAGTTCATGGGTGTGGGTCACAGAGAAGACCAGAACATGATCCCTGGTTCCCCCAGCTGGAGCTTAGAAGTTTGGTGTAGCTCAGTGCAGAGGTTCTGAGTTCAGTCCCCAGGACCACAAAAACAGCAAAAAACAAAACATGAAATCCCTGCAGCCCTGCACACCCCATTGAGAAGCACCTGTGGATTAGTCCACCGATGAGCACACTATCTTCATGATCTAGCACTTCTGCGGGAGTCTGTTGATCCAGTTAGGGTGACAATCAAAACTAACTGGCATTCAGATATGTAATTAATTTTCTACTTAATTTTTTTGAGTTATATGTTTTAAGAATCATATTTTCAAAGCTGGGTGTGGTGGCACATACTTGTAATCCCAGCACTTGAGAGCCTGAGGCAGAAGGATTGTGAGTTCAAGACTAGCCTAGACTACAAAGTGAGCCTAGTGCCAACCTGAACTTCATAGCAAGACCCTGTCTCAAAAAGACAAAAAAAAAAAAAAAACAAAAAAACATATTTTTTGATTGTCACTGGTACACAGATATTGAATTTTCCATATTGGTGTTGTTATGCTTTTGCCAAGTTCTCAGTAAGCCTACAGATCCGCTGTCAGTCTATAATTATCTTTTAATTGGTGGCAGGACTTTGGGTACGAGGCTGGACAGACCATGAAATCCCAGCTCCTAATATGTTCCAGCATTCCAGCCTGGGCCCTGAGATATAGTGACATCTTCATTCAGCTTGCAAAGTTTCCTTCTATTTCTATATTTTTTATGTCAAGCTTAGCCATACCTAGATCTTGAAGATTTTCAATTTTTATATGTGTGGTATTTTGACATGTGTTTTCTGAAGCTGTTGGTATTGATGTTATGAGTTGAATTGTGTACCCTTGAAAAGATATGTTGAAGTTCTGACCATTAAGTCCTTTTGACTGTGACCTTATTTGGAGGCATGAGTTAGTTTAGAGGGCAGGCTGGGATGCTAATGACTGAATCCTCACAGTTGTACATGTAAGAACATAGCATGTGAAGATAGGGACAGGGGGCTCTATCACTTAGATGCATCTCAGCCTTTCTGGAAATAGATTTTTAACTCCCAGTGCAGTGTCCTCAGGTTTGCTGAAATATTTAGGCTTTTCTGTCCCGTGTGTTTCTGTGTGTGTGTGTGTGTGTGTGTGTGTGTGTGTGTGTGTGTGTGTGTGCATATCAAACCAAGACTTCATATGTGCCAGGCAACCGTGCTACCACTGAGCCACAATCCTGGCCCTGGGTTTTTTTACATCTTGAATCTAATTATTTAAGTGTTTTTCTAATCAAGTGTAGTGGTACACTTGGGAGGCTAAAGCAGGAGGATCACTGTGAATTCAAAACCAGCCTGAGGCACAGAGTAAGACTCTGTCTCAAAACAACAACAAAGTTGTTCTTTTTTCTATTTTTTCCTTTGGTATCAGGGACGTAACTCACAACCTTGTGCTTGCTAGGCAGGCACTTGTACCACTGACCTACATCCCTGGCCCTATTAAATAATCTATTTTATCAGATTTTATCGTTACATTGCCATAAAACTCTTCTATTTTGAACTTTTCTTATTCTTTTTCTTACTTAGTGTGTTGGAAGCTTAGCTCATTCATTTTCATTGTTTTTTCTAAAATAAACATTTGATGCCATAAATTTCCCTCAACATACTGCCCTAATGTGGTTAGTTTTTGGTGCATGGACTTTGCATGCTATGTACTCCCACTGTGACAGTGCTGTGACAGCTGCTTCTGCATCCCTTTGCACACTCTGTATCTGCCTGCCCCAGGTCAATTCTGGGCCATGTAACCAACCCTTCAGATGTCCTTGTGTCAGGGAATCCAGGGAGCTGACCCTGTGTTGTGCCCCATGAGTCTATAGATTGCCTCTCTCAACTTCCAGCCTTGGTGGTTTTGTCTAGTTTTGTTTTTTCTGCCCTTGGTGATGGTTTAGTTCCGCGTCCCAGGGCTTAGTGAAAACACAGACCAGGGTTAGGGCAATGCAGCCGTCTCACTGTCTATCTGAGGTGGGATATTCGTGTCTGTGTTCCCAGAGGTCAAAGTGGCAGTGCCTGGCCTGCATTTTAGAAGCGCTGTGGAGGGCAGGAGACAGGGAAAAGACTTGGCTTCCACTGGGGAAACCATTCTGGAGAAGCAGAGTACCAGCAGCTCCCCCACAGAGCAGGGCCCTGCCAGAGGTTGCTGCCTGAGGGATTTTGTGGCCCCAGACCAAGCCTAGCCCAGTGTACTTTTATATCTCAGAGCAGATTTCTGGTGGCCCCTGCTACACCACTCCCCACTTCCACATGAGTCCCTCCATCTGCGGCAGCAGATGATCGGCACCATAGTGAGCCCATATTTCTATGACCATTGCTAGGTAGGCCTGGCTGTCACCTGGAGGCCAGAGCTAGAGAGTTATTAGAGCCATGCTGAGATCTGCTGTCCCCTCCTTGCCTGCCTTCTTGATTTCCCAGCTTGCTGGTCTCCACCAAATGGCAGGAAGTCTGAGAATTCCACGCCTAAGATGGCCTCCTAGCACTAGCAGAGTGTACAGCTATAGGTGCCTCAGGAAGGAATATGGGTCCTTGTCTTGCAGGCCAGGTCCCCTCTACAAAGCAATAGATGCGGTTGAGGTGAGTGCCCTGGCCGGCCAGCCCTTCACTGTTAGCCCTTGATAGGATGTACATGGAAAGGATACCCCTCTCCTGAGAGGGACCGAACAGCCATCTCAGCAACCGTGCTTTCTAAGGTCGGGCTTTGGTGTGACACAGGTGTGATCTTTTTTT